TAAGGAATTCTCATTGCTTCTGAGGAAAACTTTTTAAATGGGCAAAAGGTTTAGCAAGCTCTTTTAGTGCTTTCTGCTTAGCCTGAACAGTTGTAGCTCACTAGGCTGAAACTGGAGTACCAGAGAGAGAAGTGGAAAGTTATCCAAAACTCCTCACTTGTTTAAAAGTAATATATACATTATTGTTAGTCATTCCATGGCATTAGATCCTGCAGCTACATTTCAGTTAAGTGTTCTTCCATGGGCATGTTCTCTTGTTTCTTTTTTGGCAGTCATGTTTCTCTCTAACACTATTTTAGTACTTAGATGGCAAGCTACATTTTATCCATATAATGTTTAATTTAATAAGGCAAAATGTGATTATTTGGGTTAATTAGAGCATGTAAGAACTCTCTGTGTACGCACTTTTGATAGTCACTTTTAAACATGTGCTTATATATATTGATTTATAAATATCTGAGGTATATTTATGCAAATTTGATATACTAGCAATGCAAGGCATTATAGATCATTTGCAAGAGTGGTGCAGTGTGAATTCACATTTAGGCAGTGAGCAGCATTCATTAAATGTCCGTGCTTCAGCTGTGTGCTTGCAGGGTGGTATTTTTTCCTCCAAGGCTTAGCTATTAAATCCACTGTAAAATACTGCAGAGTTGTATCTCAGCCTTTTTAAGTGATCACTTGACTCCAGTGACTGGTATGGAAGCTATAGTCAAAATATGTCTATTTAAAACAGATGTAGTCATTAGGAGGCCCTCCAAACTGTGCTTCTCAGCTTCTTCTAAGTCAAACTTCTTCTAGGTCAAAGCATCTCCTAGGCAGGTTCAGAGAGGGATGATTATCCCTGTTTCCCCACGTGTCAAGTGTAACCAAACTGCTGCATTGACAAGGGGCTAGTGCCATAAAAATAGGAGCCACTACTTAGTTATCAGACAAGTTTGTTGCCATTCATGCTCCTCATTCTGTCTCACTCGTGCTATTTAAATGTGGAGCTAAATATAAATATTGGCCCTTGCTTATCAATAGGCACGGTAAGGAATTTTACTGCCCTGAATGCTGCTCGGGGTTAGCTTTGGATGGCTGTTTGTGGCACCACATTGCAACAGCCTGGACAGAATGCCACAGGGAAGGTCCTTGGGGCCTCTGTGATCCCAGAAAAGCTGAATGCCAGTGCCCAGGGTGAATTTAAGCATAGCATGATGAGCAGGACAAGTGGGCAGTAATAATCTGCGAGAGACAGAAAGAGCAGAGCCTGAGCAGGACCTTGCCAGCAGCAGGAAAGATTGCTTTCCACACTGCCCCAGCCATGACCTCAGGATAGGGATTTCTGACTGACCCTGTGCCATGAAGCATTAAAAACGCAACAAAATGATCCACTGGGCTCTCACTTCTTGACCTCCCTGTGAGCACAGAAGCTTTTCTAGCTCTCACTGAGAGAATGATATCATTTCTGTAGTTATCTTTACAGCTTTCAGACTGAGTTTCTCACCTGCTTTAAGAAAGCTGTAGCAACCACTACCATTTCTTCCAGTTATTCTCTTGTTTTAGTCCTTGCACTTCTGTCATTTTGTGATGGGCCAGAATAATGTGAAATTATCCAGACAACATTTCAGTTGTCTTTTCCTAATTTGTCATTTTGTTCAGATATCCAACACATTCTTTAGGACTAGGGGCTTTCTGCCATTGTGTACAGAAAGTAGACAGAAAATGAATAGTTTTTCATGGGGAAAGGACTTGGTGGCCTTCAAGCACAAAATCTCCTGGTCTGTCCTGATCCTGTCACAGAAATCATCCCCTTCTCTAAGTGTCTAGCATGACAAGGGAAGAAAGGCAGTAACTGTGGGTTTGGATATAGATCTGGGTACAGCTGAGTCGACTTCCCGAAGCGCCTCTGTAGGAAAAGCTCTGCATGATACAAACAGGTACTGACACTTATAAACCGACGGTACAGGTATGTTCCTGGTGCCACAGGGCAAGGTCTGGAGAGCATTTCCCATCACCAAGTAAAGCAAACAGTGTCTTGAAGCAAAAGTTACCACTGCGGAGAGTTTCAGTGGTGAGGCAATTTGGGTTGCACCCCTGCGTAAACTCTAGAGTTGATCAGCATCACCCTGCTGCTTGCATGCTGCCCATATTACAGTTATTCCATGTTGCTGTAGTGTGGAACATTGTGATCAGCCTCTGGATGCTCCTAAATTAAGGCAGATCATCTTTGCCTCCTAAGAAACCTCCAGAACCCAGGTGTAGCCATAAAACTGCTAACAAATGCAAGCTGGCTGCAGTTCAGAATTGGGCCAGTACTTTTAACAGCATGAAATTTTGTTGTAGGCCCTCTGGAAGGATTCTGTAGATGAAACATTGAACTGGAGCAAAATCAAGACTGAAGTCCCCTGTGTGGAAAAACAGGTGAAACAAAGGTTAGCTATGTTTGAGAAGGGGGATGCATCTCTCATTTGTATTACAGATAGAGTCTGATGACATTAATTTGGAAGAGGTGTATCTTTCTTTACTGTTGACTTATGTTCACAAATGCATTCTAATGTCATAACCTCTTTTGTCTGAGTTGGCATCAGTGGAACATACCGACCATACCAATCTCATCAACATAATCAGAAAATAAGTTGATATTTTACGTTAGTAATTAAATCCTAAGCTCTACCCACTTTGTTAGGGCCTGAACTTCTACATGTACTTTCATACTGCCACTGGTGGCTTTTTGTTTGCATTACAGCAGCCTGAGAGCAAACGAAAGGCAAGATCCAAGATAGGAAGGCAAATTGGCTTTGCAAACATGGCAAAGAAAGTGTGTGAAATCAAATGCCAATATTAATGCAAGACATCTGCTCTCTGTTCCAGTTCTGAGCGAAGTAATCCAGTCCTAATTATACACTGCTGTGTCCTCTACCAGCTAAGGAGAATGGTGCAGCCATTCTTAGTACTGGTGTATAAATTTCTTTTTGGATCTGATAGATACATTAGATGCAGGGGAGGCTTTTCATTTTTTGACTGTCAGTTGCTTCAGGTAGCACAAAGAGAGGGGGAGGAGAAAGGTTGCAGAAGGAAAAGATCAAAATCTTCCAAAAAGGACTCTGCTCCTAGAATAAAAAATTTTCCTAGAGAACTTTCCCTGCAGACCTCAATCAATACTATTCTCATCTGAGTGCACATATTATTCATTAAGAAATATTGGCAAGATGTGCACTATAGTGTATGCCTTCATTAGACCCTCCACCTGCCTGCTTTTATCAGAATATCCTCCCTAACTTTCATCTTCATTGAACTTTATTCTGTCTTTGGATTCAGAGAGAAATCTTGTAATTTCACAGCATGGATTTATTTTAAAACAAACAAACAAACAAACACCAAAATATTCATCTCTCTGGTGTGAGAGATGTTAATGTGTTTGTGTATGTGTTTTCTCATCTCACACATTAATGAATCAAGAAGATTATCACCATTAGATTCAGATTGAACTGGATGCTGATGAATTCAAGTGCAAAACACAGCCCAGTGCAACAGACCCTCCCTAACATGGGAATAGCTGGAATTCCTCTGTTGTGCGTTCAGCTGCCACACCATATCCTTTGTGTGCACCTACAGCTCCTGTGCCAGCAACCATTTTCCTATGGGGTCAACATTTTTAGATGATATGCTGTTTGAATGATGTTATGAAGATCTGGCAAATGTCATCCATGCCAAGTAGAGGCAGAGTGAGCCACAAAACATAGGGGACACTGGCAGTGTCTTAGGTTATTGTTATCACAAAGCAACATGAGCCTGACATTGCATTTTATCTTTTCAGTTCTTGTGTTTACATCTCCAACTATTCTGTGTCGGTCTTGCCTGATCTCTTTAGTGCAAGGCAGTGAAGAAAGAAACTATCTTATTGAAGAAGGGCATTGGGATTTTTGGACAATATGTTGTGGTCTAGCTCCATAGCTGGGATCCCTGTGTGCTGCTGCAGTTTAAAGAAGAGCTGATAGTGAGAGATGATGAAAAGGCAGCTCCATGGCTCTGTCTCTGTTCACCCATCCCACATTTGATTAGTCTCTGCTTGACATCAGGCTGGGAGCAATAAGCTGTGATCATAACAGAGTATGTGGCAACAAGCCTGAGAGCTCCATGTGTCACTCCAGAACCAGACACTGTCTCACTGGATTCCTCCACAAAACAACTGAGGCAGATGTAGGGATGCCAGATTTGTTTTTCAGGTCTATCTACTCCTATCTGCTCTACCAAGGTGAGGAGTAAAAGGCAGGACTATCTGCAGAACACTGCAGTAGCAATGGACTTTGAAGTAAAGAATATACAGAAAAGTCAATTATTGATCCAAATGAAAGTGAGGAACATTAGGAAAACACTGTCACTAGAGTTTATTCATAAATTCAGAGGTCTGTTTTTGATGGGATATGTGTGTTAAGGATTCATTGCCACTTAAAGAAGCTGCACAGGCACTGTTGTGTGAAGAGGTGGCAGAGTCAGAGTTCATGTGTTGGTTTACTCAGGAAGATTGGGCTAAAGGTGCACTCCTGAACTTTGCTGAACTTCAGTTTGATATGGATTGAAACCTTACATCACTGTTGAGACCTGATGGACCATACAAATGGAAGAACACATCCCACTTGAACCTGGGAGAGTTTTGAGAGGTGGAAGGAGAAAGGAGGCTTCTATTGGGAATGCATGTCCTGTATTTATGCTTTTCCCAGGGAAATCTAGCCTGTCCCAGCTCCATGTCTGGGCCTCCTCTCACGCTGTTCACTTGGGTCCTTAGACCTCTCCCTGCCTGTGTTGGTGCAGGGCAGCCAGACATTGGCAGATCTGCAGTGTGTCACAACAACCTCACCCCCCAGCAGTTTGTACCCACTCACAAAACCTTCCTGATACCACTTTATCAAGCAGAAAGAAACTTCATGTATTCCATTGCAGCTGAGCTGTTCTGGACATGAGAGATGCAGAATCTGCCCATTAAACATCTTATGAAACAAGAAACAGTCCAAAAATTCAGGTGTTTCTACTTTTATTTTGGAAAAAAAATCCTTTTAACTTTTTCCTCTGGAGAGCAGCAACACAACTTCTGAATAACTAATTTATCCACTGTAAAGTTCTCTAAAAGGTCATTACAGATTTTAAAGCCTAATGGCTTAAAGTTTCAGTCTTATATCACAGTGGCAAAAAACTTATTCTCTAGAGATTTTATTTTTGAAGCTTTCCCGTTTTCTTCTATCAAAGGAAATGCTGTATTTTTAATATACAATTTTCTTTATTAAGGGAGAACTTATATTTATGAAAATATTTAACAATTATTTCACATAAAACATAGTAACAGAATTGAGTGATTTATTTTCACAATGCATAGGCAGAGAAGTAGAGCAAGCCAGAGTTTAGAAATAATTGAGGTCTGTAGATCTCAGGTATGTATTTAAGTGGTCTTTTGAACTGCCACCCATGTTCTGTGTGAACATAACTTTTCAGAGTACTTGTGATTTTCCTCCTTTACAGGGCTGCTGAATTGCAGTATGAGGTCAGGCCCATGGTCACTCTCTTCTGACACCAGCAAGGTAGGTGCAAGTGATTCTGAAATAGGTAAAAATAGAGATGTTTTATAGCTAATTTAGTACAGACCTGTGCAAATTGTCTCAGTTATTTGTGTGGATTCGAGAAATAAAACCCATGTGTCAAACTGGCAGATAAAAGTCTCATTTGCTGAGAAATTTGACTTTGAAAACAACTGCTAAATTCTCCATGTGCAGGGTAGTCTTTGGTATGGCCTGGTGCTGCTTCACTGTGGGATTCTGACTGTCACATGTGACTTAATCACCTTCCTTTTTTATTTTGATTTTTTTTTTCTAATCCTGTCAGCTGAAAGATAAAATAAAAAACATATTCACCTTCCTGATGAAACATTATAATTCCCAACACTGAAACATTAACCAAGTCCTTAATTAAGAGAGACTGAAAGTAGAAGAATGCTTTTATGTCATCAGCTGGTTTTTGCTCTAGTCATCTGCCTCATTCAAGCATAGGATAATATGAAACCTCATGGGTCTGCTAAAGGCTTGATTTAAGTATACTATGGACTTTGCAATTTAATAGGAATGAGGTGTTGTTCTTAAGAAACTTCATTTTCTCTTGCTTGTGCTCAAGCAAAAAGGAAAAAAGTACAAGCAGCTAGTGAGCATGAGCCTCAAGTTAAACCCAAGTCTGAGCCCAAGCTCTGGCTGCACAAAGGTGTGTTTATTCCTGCATGCCTCTTCCCTCACACACTAGGAATAGCAGGAATCAGAATTAGACCAGAAATTTTCCTGGGCAGAGCACAGCTGTTCCCTTTTTTCTGTAGTTCCTGCAGTATTGAGCGTGATGGCTTCTCAGAGCTGCCTAGCCAGGGAGTGCGTGGGGCACCAGAACTGAATGAAAACCAGTGCACATCAGTGATGAACTGGCACCTCAGCAGCAGTGCTGTCTGGTCCTCCTCCAGCAGCGAGCTGTTTTAGTGCTTTGTTCCACAGAATGGAGGGTTGGGGAGCTGAGGCTTATTCCCAGACACTGATCTGTGTCAAGTTTTCCCAGTAACTCGTTATGGGGCCAGTTGCCTACACAAGTGCTTTTTAAAGGAGTAATCTAGCCGTTCTTCTCTAGTGTCAAGATAATAAAATAATAAGTGTGGTAAAATTCTTTGTATGAGACTTTTAATCTACTGGGTGAAGGAGGCTCAAAAATTACTGAAACTTTCTCACTCCTCTGAAATAACTCTCTGAGCAGATATAATGGAAACAAACGCAGGACAATGCTTCATCACACTAGAAAAAGTAATTTACGTAGAGTGGGGACCTTTACACTGGGGTTTGTCTCTTCACCTTATTAAAGTTGTAAACCTAAAAATGGCCATGACTGTAACTGCAGGATTGCTAGCAGACTGTTCAAATTGCAGGATTTGTGTTTGGGAATGCAATGTTTTGGTGGTTTTGGCATTATTTTTCTCCCCTTGTGTGATGCTCTCTCATGCACCTACACAAGTGCAAAATTCTCTCTTGATTTTTCCCTCCAAGTCCTTTTCAGGCCCAATGACCCCACTTTTGTCGGCTCAAGCACAAACATAATTTCTGAGGAACGATATCAAAGTCAGTCTCTGTTTCCTCAGTTTCTTCCTGTTCTACCCTTGGCATCCCACCAGTGGCCTCGAGCTCCAGTGCACGCAGACAAACTTCTGCCACTCAGTAAATCTGTGCTTAGATTAAACCACACTATCCCTGTGGCACGCTCAGAATTAAGGCTCAAGAGTTGCATACCAAGATCTTGAAATTCTGGCTTTGCACCCAAAAGTCTCCTTGGCCACAGTGAGAAAAGGAATGGGCTCAAGGACCAAAAGCACGCTCAGGAACGAGTTGATGCACGATGCTCTCCAGGGTCAGCATTTTTCAAGTACTGCTGTGTTCTTTCAAAGGAGGGGGAAAAAAAAAACAAGCAAGATTCATGGAGTTAGAAAGACCAAGTTCCTGTGGGTGCAGTATGTGCCACAGAGTGGAAATTAAAAACCAGAGAATTAACAGGGTTTGTTGTGTTACAAAGCTTGAAAGCATTTTTATCCTTATATGTGTGTACTCACAGAAAAACATACTGCACTAATAAAACAGAACTTTATGTTCCCAAGCATATTTATTGTTTGTTGCCAAGCAGTCTTAGCTGTGGGTTTGTTTGTAGGGGTGAAGAGGAGGTGCTTGTGGGGTTTTTGATCCCCTTGGCTATAGGTGATATGTACAAGGTGTGCCTTAAAGAGAATGGGTAGAGTTGCCAGGCAGGCAAGTTTAATAATGGGTATCTTGACAGGGGTGAATGTGAAGGGAAACTGAGGATGTGACAGTTCCCATGAGATGGTGTGCAGCACTATCCCCCCTAAAATCTACCAAAAATTATCTGTCTTCCCTCAAGGGGAACCAGCTTGAAGAAAAGTCCAAAAAAAGGCAACATGGTGGGACCTAAATAAAAGCTAATAGATGAGCCGAGCTAATATTAGTTTCCTGATATATAAAGCCAAATGGATTAATGGATCAGCTCATGCATTGCCTAAGGAAACAAAAAGAAAATCTTCAATACTTCTGTGCACATTGAGGACATGAACAATATGGGTCTTTAGAAAGTAAAAACCTAATTTGGGGGAATCAATTACTACTTCTTTTTTTTCTTACCCTTTTTTTTTTTTTTTTTTTTTTTTTCTTCTCCCCCTTCGGCTCAGAGAAGGGGGGGATTGCCTAACTTTAAAAATAATAACTTTTAATATAACATAACTTGCTCTGTTGTTTAATTTAAAGGAAGTTCACTGAGAGGTAAAACTTGGGTAACATGCCAGCCAGAAGTCATGCGTCTCAGACACCACAATGATGGTCGATCTCAGTTTGCATCAGCCTTGCCCGGGCTCTTTTTAGCATTCCAGCTTCAGCTAATGGAAATCAAGCCCATTATGGTAAACGTAGGAAGCAAGTACATTAATAGTGGGCACCGACATTAATTCAAATGGTAAACAATTCAGAACTGTTCCCACTACATACTAGATTATGTATCATCTTACCTGCTTCTTCAGAGGGCTGCGCCTTTCATGGGTTTTTAAAGTACAGAAGATTGTCTGCCACAGAGTTTTCTGCTTTAGTAAATTATTCCCAAATTCTGCTTCGCTCCCTCTCAGTCCCATATACTTTTCTTTTTTGTTTTGGATGCGAGAGCTTTTCCTCCAGAACTGACACAGACTGGCAAAGCCAATCTGTTCCTTACTTTAAAAACATAGATGCAGACGGGGCAAGTTTAGCAAAGGCAAGATGTGGGGGAAAATCTAACCGGAAGGTAGAAAGAAAATTCGAGCTTATTTATACAGTAACACGTGTGTTAGAGTAATGCCTCCCTTCCTCGGCTAGCGCTCCCCCATCTTCTCTCTCACACACGTATATACACACACACTTTAACTGTGCTTTTGTGTTTTGTCAGAATTAATGAGAAAAGTTCCCTTGCCCTAGGGGTAATTAGTGTCCTTGGAGTTAAATAAGCTAATACTTAGACACCTCTGGCACAGGCAATTATGTTTGTGTATTGAATAATTGATTCAAAGAGGGGGGGAAGGGGCTGCTAATCAGATCTGAGCATAATGAATTGATTTAATTAACAGGGGAATCTGAGGGTCCCTGGGAAATGTGTGCATTTATTCAGCAGCAGGAGAGAGTGCAAAGCACATAAATTGAGAGAGAGAGCGAGCGAGGCAGGCGGCAAGTGCTTTTGCTTTCAGTGATAGGTTCACATCTTTCCTCCCTCCCACCCCCCTTCCTTTGAATATAATTTTAGATTTAGAGTGAAATCAAGAGAAAAGCACTTTAGAAGCCTGGAAAGCTCTTGCAGTGGCAACAGCAAAGGGGAGAGAGGTTGTGAGCGATCACAGGCGATTACATTAAGACAATTTTTGACAGCGCAGGTTGGGCAAGGACGGAGCAGGGGGAGCAGCCCCCGATATTGGTCCTCCCTTACATATTTTCCTCTCCCCCCCCCTCTTCCCTTCTTCTTTGATCCCTAAACTGGCACTCGAGCTGCAGCGGCGGGGCCGGGGGCGAGGCGGCTGGTGCAGGAGCCCGGCTCCAGCTCTCCGGCGCCCAGCGCGGCCGTAGCCCGCCGCAGCCCCGCTCCAAACTCGCGTCCCGGGGCAGCGCCGGGGCGGCCGCGCCGCTGCCCCCGCCTCGGCAGCGCCCCGGTGCCCGGCCCGGCGCCTCGCCCGCCCCGGAGCGCAGGGCGGCGGCTGGAGGGGGAGCGCCCCAAGGAGCCGGAGCGGCGGCGGCGGCGGCCGCCCTCGGCGCCCGGGACAATGGTGCTGGACAAGGAGGACGGTAGGTGGGAGCGGGGCGCGGGGCCCGCCGCTGCCGCCCGGGCGCCCCGGCGGCGGGCGGGAGGCGCGGACGGGGGTCGGAGGGAGGCAGCGGGGCCGGGAGCTGCCCCGCGCCGCGGCACGGCGCTGCCGCCCGGCCGGTCCCGCGCACAAAGCGGGGCCGGGGGCGCCCGGGACGGCGGCCCCGCCGCAGCCGCGGGTCGCTCTCCGCGGTGGCCGGGCCGGGCCGGGCGGGAGGCGCGGGTGTTCCCCGCGGGGGCACGGCCGCGGCCCCGCTGCGTGCCGCGGCCGGCCGGGGACAGTCTGGCACTGCAGCCCCGGCTCCGGGCCGCCATCAGCGCCGCTGCCCGCGGCGCGGGTCCCCACCGGGCCAGCTGCGCCGGCTCCCGAGGCCGCGGGTGCCCGAACGCCGCCCCGCGCTCCCGCTGCGGGCAGGGCGGCCCTGCCTGCCTGTGTCAACGGCCACAGAACGCCCCTGTGCCGGGCTGGCGGGGGCTCCAACTCGGAAAAGTGGATGCCGGGCTCAAGAGACAAGTGGGAGATGCTCTCCTTCGCTGTTCCCTTTTTTTTTTTTTTTTTTTTTTTTTTTTTTTTTTTTTTTTNCCCTCCCGTCCACTCTACCTCTTCTCCTTCCCCTTCCCCTCGTCTTCTGATCTGGAGTTTCTGCCTCGGAACGGGGAGAGCCTGCCCGCCGCGACACCGCCGAGCGGGACGGGGCACGGAGAGCAGCCCCGGGCCGGCTGGTGCGAGCGGCCGTGCGGGAGGGGCCGGGCGCTGACAGCCGCAAGGTTAAATGCTCGCCGCTCCAGAGAGGTGCGTGGCGAGGGAGCTCGCTGCACGCTCGTCACATGCCTCTGGGCCCTCGGAGAATCCCTCTCCCAGCATCTTTTTTTCCTCCAGTTTCTTGAAGCCCTCTGAAGCAAAGCGATGCAGTGTTATTAATGGGGTCTGGAGTGCTCACATGTGTTGGAGAAGAGGGAATGAACTTATCTAACTGGTCAGTGAGAAGTAACAGTAGAGACTTTCCTCATCCTTCGCCCCCTGTGCACTTAGGTAAAAAGATTAAGCAATGACCGAGGAATTAAACACGGGCAATTTCTTACTGGTGTGTGGAACACTGTGTTTCTCTCCAACCTCACTTTCAGGGGTAAGCCTGCGTTGCAAGAGTCCCCTGAATTTTGCTTAGCTGCTGGAGGAAAAGGGAGGAAGGGCTCTTAACATCTCTATTAATACCCCTTAATAATAATAACGGGGTGATGTCTTCATCCCGGTGGCTCTCTGTCAGGGGGTGCCTGCCAGCCCGCGTCTGTTTCCGTGTGATTGACAGGCTGCCAGCAGGATGCTGCCTCCATTGCAGGGGCGAGAGGCACAGGTGAGCTGCGAGGAGAGACCGAGATCTGAAGAGGGTTTCCTAATAGGGCTGTTTGGCCTCTTTCAAGTGTCTCAGACGTACTCATTAAACACGAAGAGCTCGGGAATGGCCTGACGGTGCTGTAAGGAAATGAAACTAGAACCCCTGATTATCCAGACAGTTCTCAACAGCCTCCTTCCAGGAGATTTTATGAGTGGCTGTGTGTAAAAGGGAATAATGGTGGTGGGTGGGAGAGGTAAAGAGGAAATTAGTGCGGGATGCACTTAAAAAAGGAGCAAAGTAGGAAACAAACTGATGAGAAGGATGTGAAGATCAGAGCAACAAGGTGCAGTAATGCCTAAGACTCTCCTGTGCTGTTGATGGAGTAGTTACGCTCGAGGAGAAATTATGGTCACTTTTAAAGGTGTCCTGGAGAAATAGGGGACAGAAGGTGAGACTCAGAGGAGAAACTCGTTTTATGAGGAGGTCATTTTACCTTTGTAAGTTTCTTTCTGCCTGAGTCAAATGGGCTCCACTTGCCCGCTCATCTGTGAATGTTGAAAGGGGATGCTGGACCTACATAGGTTACAAATGGACTAAAATGGAAGCTTTTGCTAACTAAACCAATTCCTTTTGAAATCAAGCTTGAATGAGCTTGTTGATAAAAATGGGTCTATTTCACTCCCATAAATGGCTCTTTTTCTTTCCTTTTATTTTTCTTTTTCCCAGAAGCCGGTCTGACTTTTACCATCTAAAAATCCCAGCGTTGTGGCTACTATCCAATTCTCCCCTTGATTTAAGAGGCTTTGCCATGTAGAGTTTTTCTTTGAGGGGTTTTCTTCTTTAGAGGTCTCTGGCAGCGGTGGGGGTATTGATAGTTACTACTGCATAGAGGAGCAGGATTTCAGGTTTACCCCTCCCAGAAGTCCTGGTGCATCACAAGGAAGACACTTGCTGCCTTGTAGACATGAGCCCCTTGCTTTTGCATCCCTGAAGGCCACTTGGGAAGCTGGGCCATGGCCACTGGCCTCAGGGGCAGCTGCCCACTCTTTCAGCTTGGCGCCTTAGGGCTGTGTGCCAGCCCCAGTGTGACACCAGGATTGCCCCAGCGGTGCGATAACTGCAGATTTGTGTTTCCACTGCGGGTTTGTGAGCAAAAAGCTTCCTTGGCGAGCACGCTCTGTGGTGCAGAGAAGTAGTAGAGACTCAATAATACTTTTCTGTGGGTCTTCACGAATATCATTGAGGATGAAGGGGCAGACTGAAAAAATAACAACAATAATCATGTTTCTGACTTGATATGTTGTGGCAACACGTCAAGTTATGTCAGGGAGGTAACAGCATTTTGTATGTTTGGAGTGACATAATATAGCTTGACTGATGCAACATGACTTGATATTAGAAAATACTGGTTCACAGTGGAACTCTGGCAGGTATCTTCCCCGAACAAATGTTAGCAACTGAGAGAAGAGGGACGAGAGGGGTGGGGGAGAGAAAGGTTGAGAGAGAAGAACTTCAAGGTTCTCATTTTAGTCAGTTCCACTGTGTAAATCACAGCAGAATTTGCTGTGGGCAAGCCAACCTACGCACCGTGCAGCGCATTTATATATTTCAAGATAATGAGAGTTAAGATATTTCTGAAATACGTAAATGTTTTGATCGCAAAGACCAGATTTCTGCTTAAAAAAGTAAACTGACATCAGGTAGCATGATTAATTCCAACAGATTGTGTTAATTGTAGTTGACTTAAATTGCTGTACAAATGTGTTGGGGGTTAGAAAACTTTTTTTTTAATTGTTGGTGTGTGAAATGAGTAAGCAGATAAAGTGTTTAAAAAAATCTGTTTGCACAGGGAGTAATCCAGCCTCTATGACATGATGGAGCAGTAAAGGAATAAAATGTACATTGATCCGGCACTGCATATTTTTTCATGAGTGCATTATGTCTGCTAGTTTGCTCTGCTGCAGAAGTCATCTGTGACAGACAATAGCTAACTTAATTTTTATCAAAACCTTGCCTTTCTTGTAGTTACTAAATAGTGGAAGTTGAAATGTACCATATACTTTGGGGTAAGTCTGTCCTTTTTGAAGGTGGCAGGATTGAAAAGTACACAGACAGATGGAACATTTTTGGAATTCACCATTTCCTGACAGAGGCCAATAGTATATTGGAAATGGTGAAGTGCCTCAAATCTAAAAAAGGCTGTGGTTTTGTTAGTTTTTGCTCAGATCCTTTTAACTATTAGACTTTAATCTTTGGGATAAAGTCCTCCTCCTTTCTAGCTTGTGACACTTCCTAAAAGAAAGTGATTATTTATGGTGGTTGCACTCTTACGCTAAAATACATATTCAGCACTTGCAAACTAGTATCACTAGGATACAGGAGTTGTTGGAAGCACTAGATGAAAACAGCTCAAAGTGAACCAATACATTTAACATCAAATATTCTCAAGGACTGTTAGGATTAAGTATTGTGAATGAAGGGGGAAGGAAAAGCCACTTCAGCTGGGGATAAGGAATCTAATTAAAAATTGGTATTAAGGATATATAACTTGATCCCGCTATCATGCTCTTTAGAGTACCGTTGTATCAGTTGTAAAGGGGAGGAAGAAGTATCATTAAAGCAGAAATGAAATGTTTTCTCAGATTAAAAGACTGAGATGAGTGAAACGGTGCTGTTGATCTTGGTAGCGAAGTGTCTGATCCCTCAATCCTTGCGAGAGCCATTGGAGACAACAGATGACTTGTCTGAAAACGGAATGAGAGTTGCAGGATGTAGGATAAAAGATGTGGGGCCCCAACTTGTCGCTTTATATCTGAGCATTGATGGCATTTCTGAAAAGGGTTTGTATCGTGTTTGATTAGGTAAATACAATTTAATATCGACCTAGTGAAAATGGAGCTGAGTTCTCCGGAGTACACCCTGAAACTAATACCGACGTGTGAAAACAAACCCAAAATGTTTGTGCGGAAAAATTAGTATCAAGTTTTAGGTCACCAGAGACGCGTGAAACGCAGCTGGGAGCAGCGGGGCTGGCGTAACTCAGCCGCGGAGAGTTGAGAGCCTCTGACCTGCCCGAGCTGCTGCGTGGCGCCAGACACAATCCCCGCTGGCAGGGAGCGGGGCCGGGGCAGGGCCGGAGCATCCCCCGCGCATCCCCGGAGCATCCCCGGAGCATCCCCGGAGCATCCCCCGCGCATCCCCCGCGCATCCCCGGAGCATCCCCCGCGCATCCCCCGCGCATCCCCGGAGCATCCCCCGCGCATCCCCCGCGCATCCCCCGCGCAGCACAAGGCGGCGGCGGCGGCGCAGGTGGCCCCGGCCGGCGGCACCTGGGCGGGGGCCGGGCGGGCTGCAGGTGGTGCTGCTGAGCCGGGAAGCCGCGCTCCGCCAGGAAATCCCGGCAGGAGCTCCGGAGGGGGCCCTGGGAAACGCGTGCATTTATTCATCGCAAGTGTGCAAGGCTCACCAATTGAGAGGCAGAGGCAGCGCTGGTCGGGTTTAGGCATTCTAGCCTCTCCGAATGTAATTTCGGATTTAGAGTCAGCTTAAATCCAAAGGGAAAACACTTTATAAGGCTGAAAGCTGTGTAGTTGCAACTGCCAGGGTTATGAGCTATCAAAGGCAATTACATTAAAATAGATTATACTGTGTAAATTGAGCCATTTAGAAGGTGAGAACCAAAGAAACAGCTCTGATCCCCCTTCTTTCTAAATTGCAGTTTTAGTTCCTTGCAATTCTGAGGCACAAAAGTAGGTGAGACTGCTTTTGTATCTGCAAAGTGCTTTATTTCTGAGTGTAATTCTAACTGAGTGCAATCTAGGTTAAAAGCTGGACAACTGGGTAATTAGAGCTCACTTGCTGCTAAAGGACGATCAGCTGTACCGTAGCTCATTTGTGTTCCCAGAGACTTGCTCTCCTCTCCCCTGAGCGGAGGCTGCTGGAGAAGAAGCATCTGTGCCCGGACTTTTCTTGATTGCGGAGATGATGGTGCTGGACAAGGAGGACGGTAGGTGGGCTGAGATTGTGTAAGCCTGTGCTCGGTCTCTTCTGTGTGCTGCTAATGTAGAAATAAATAGTTTTGAAACAGATGTGCGCTGTGCATTTCAGAGCTTCTGATGTTTTTCTCTTGTGTAGGTGAAAGCATGCTTGCTCTTTATTTTATTTTTTTTTATATCTCATCTCTGACATGATCGGACAGCCAACACGGGTTTACTCCGGGCTCTGTTTGCTGAAGGACATAGCAGAAACAGCTTGATTATTTTTGTTTTTTTAAATATCTATGTAGATTTTTCTTTCTGCAAGTTATTCTAATATATCCATTTTAGCCTGTTTGTTTTTACAGCTTTTATTGTAAATCTAATTTTGAGATTTTTCTTTCCCTTTCATTTGCATGCCATTTAGGTCTCTTTAATGTGCGCCTTTAATATCTATTTCTCACAGCTTTTCTTCATAGCTATAAACATAATGACAATAAGCTAATAAGCCTCTGTGGCAAAAAAAATAAAAGCGTTGGTTTATTCTAAGAATTTACTTCCTTCTTTTAATAGCAGAAGTGGAGGTTCATTTGGGATGTAATTTCATGAATGAAGCAGAAGGAGAGCTTGACTGATTTTAAGACTTCACATATGCTTATTTTTTTAAGCTGACTAGTCCTTATCAAGGATGCTTAAGGGCAACAAATTGATGTGAGGAATATCAGTGTTAGTTAGCAGCCTGAATGACCTGATGCTATCTTTTGCACGTTGCCTGCCAGGGTGTGCAACTTAACTGCTCAGTCATCAGTAGTTTCTGGGATGAAGCTGGTAAGTTCCATCAAAACTTTTTAATGAGGTCTTTTTTTTTTTTTTTTTTTTTTTTTTTTTTTTTTTTTTTTTTTTTTTTTTTTTTTTTTTTTTTTTTTTNCATAGCTTGTACACTGAAAGCAAGGATTAAAACTGAGGCAGAGCAGAAGGCTTCTGTGGCCATCCACATGGACTTCCATCCATGGCGCTGCCGCTTCCAAGGACCTCCGCCTTGGTGGCACTTTGTGCGTGGAAAGTGGGAACTGCGTCTTAAATTGTACCAGGCATTTCTACCTGTTATCTCCTTATTTCATTCCACCTGTATAAATGGATAAAGTGGACCATGTAATGGATTTACCCGATCTTTTAAAATTTATTTCAGGAACCTCTTTAAGTGTTAAAAAAATAAGGTCATAGGCTGTTGCCATTCGAAAATAAGGGAAATTACTAAATATTTGTAAGACTGTAGACAAGAAATAGCTTTTTACAAGGAGCACAAGAGCTTGGAGAAATTGGGAGTTGGGCATTTTGGCAGTAGCATTGATTTTATTTGAATATATATATTGCTTTTTAAAATATTTATGAGAAAAATAACTTGTAATTCAAAGTCACTTACTTTCCTGTGTCGGAGTCATGCTAACTGTGTTTTGTGACTAGTACTGAAAGCTGCTGAGTACTATTAAGTTGAAATTATATGATTTTTATTCCACAACCCATATCTCTCTCCTAGTATTTTACAACTGAATTAGTACTGCACTGGAGAATAATTAGGAAGGCTTGACTATTGAAAGACCAGAAGTCTTCTACTAAAGTTTCTCTTCCCTCTCTCCTTTCCTTGCCTCCCAAAAAAAGGAGTGTTTTAGACCTAGCATTTTGAGTTCTTACCTCATTATAAGTTTGATTTCTGAAATTCTCCCTCTGGCATGTTCACGCATGTAGAATCTGAATCTAGTTTCTGGGATGGTTTTGTTTCATGAAGCATTTGGGACAATGTGGGATTTTCACAAAGACTTGACACCTTTAAAATACAAGACCAAGCAGAAATGCATCATTTTGAGTGGCCCATTGTATGCAGATTCAATCAGATTTGGACTAAGAGTTGACCAATGCGAGATCAAAGTCCCTGTATAAATTGTCATGCCCTTCTGAATTTATTCCATGCTAATTAAGTTGGCATCTCAAAACTGTGAAATAATCTTACTTGTGGGGAGAAAAAAACCTAAATCATGGGCTTTATTTCTGTTAAGAAATTTAAGTTCCTTTGTTAACGCAGTAGTACTTGAACAAAAAAATGAGTAGATGTGGAGCATCTGTTACACATCTTCTAGATCAGCTTTGCAGTTGACTGGCCTGTGGATAAAAGACACGCTAAGTGCTTGAGTATTGCTTATGCTGGGAAAACAAACGAAGCTAACAGGGTTTCAAAGGCTTTGAAGCAGTGTCACTCTCAGAGGTGTTCAGTTGTTTTCTTTGGCAATATAAGTTGAAGCAAGCTAGTTTACTTTATTAGAGGCATAAGGCTACTCTTGTAACCTTCCTCTGACTAAGATGAATTTGGCTGACTGACCTTATTTCTTGCTGGACCACACGTGTTGTGCTGGGTTTGGGTTTTTTGGGCTTTTTTCCCCCCTCCTTAGGATTCATCTCTTTTAAAGGGCGGCAGCATTTTCTGTATTTTGCTAAATCTCCCTTTTCAATTTGTGCCTCCCTACAGAACTGTGTTCTGCTATGATGGAGCAATGCAAATCAAGTAGAATAGCCCAAATTAATTCTTCACATTGGCGGCAGTATGATTGCCTGCATGGAATCAATAATGCATCATAGAGGGATCAAATTTTGGAGTATAATGTGTGAATAATGCTTGACACAAAACAAAAATTCAGTCATCATAATAGCAATTAGGAAAAAGCTGCAGCTTATCCCAGCTGTAATCTCTGCTAACAATGAAGCACAGCCTGGTAATCAGCATGTATGGTATGAAATGCACTAATAGAAATCACGGCTCTTTGTTATGTGTGTGGGGGGTGAAACTTTCCTTTTCAGCTAACTTGTGCTGTGTTAACCAGACATGGCATCCTTCAACCAAATTGTGGAGTGTGTGTGCACTTGTGAAAACACTGATCAGCTGCATGTTCATCCCTATGTTTGCATAGACAGGAGCCCCACAAATCACAGGTCCTTTGTGTTTTTGAGCAGAACTCTGATTAAACAGATCACAAGAATAGGCTGAGTAAAATATCAGAGGACTCCATTAAACATGTATCTTGGTTTTATATTGAAAGAAAATTTCCGTTTCTTAAAAAATAACAGGAAAAACATGGATACTCAGTGGTTGTGTGCATTGGGGTTGGAGAATGGGTCTAAGGTTGATGAGAGGTATTTAGAGCAATGAATATTAGGTAATTGGAAACTGGATTAGTGGCAGCAGTTGGGTTTCCTCTTGTGTGAGAGCCCATCTTGTCCCACACAGAAGGTAAAAAAAACACAGCATTTGGAATTGGAAAAGCAGATAAATGGATTGTATAAGGGCAGTGACAGGACTTGTGCCCCAGCACCCTGGCCAGGACAGCAGGTCTGTGGGCTGGCTTCACGAGGGACTGTGCTAGCTGCCATATGGAGGTACCTACAGATAGGTAGATGGATGTGGAGAGACACCTATCTCCAGCAACACAGGTCCAGGCAATCCTGTTCTGAGGATAAAAGTCATGATGCACACAAGAATACAGCAGGCACAAACTGTGCCATGCAGGAAGAAGAGCTGTTCTGCATGCTGCTGGTGTCTTTTGTTTTCCTTTGAGCATACCTTGCTCAGGTGTGCCTGTTGAGGAGTCATGCAGAGAGAGAAAGGGAGATGGTAAGATGACTTTTCCTCACGTGACATGGAATTTAACTTTTCTGTTGTCTAATGTTCCTGAAGCTTTCTGTCTTTTTCCCTTTTATCTCTTGTGCCACTCTACCTCGGATTTTCTCCGTGGTCCACCAGTGTCTAGCTTACCATGTATGAAGAATCCCTACACATCTTCCCAGACATCACCTTATTCAAAAGCTGACCTATAAAGTTGCCAAAGCCTTTATTTTTGCCTGTTTAGCTGAGCTATCTGTTGGGTGTTTTGAGGGCTTGATCTTCACACATATGGGTTTGATGTGATTTTAGAGGTTTGGTCTGGCTTTAGTTCATAGCACAGTGTCCTTTTTCGAGTCAGAAGTGCAGCAATGGGTTAATATATTCACGAAGAGATGATAGAAAGTTGTCAAAGAAGTATTCTAAATAAAATTGGAGCACATTTGGCAGCAGAACTTGAGACTCGGTTTGGCCATAAACAACCAAAAAACCATTTGGACTGTTTCTCCAAAGCTGACCAAGTGTGGAGCTAGAGGTAGTTCTTCCTGGAGGTGCCCTCTGCCCCTGAAATGGCAAATATGGAAGCATGGCAGAAACATGGGGTAGTGAAGTAATTGCCTAAACCTATTCAAGAAGTGGAGGCTACTGTAGTTGGAGCACTGATAACCCAGATATCCATTTAAATAAATCTCACCCTATGGGAAGGAGTGAAAGTAGGTGGCAGGCCTAAGGGGGAGCAAACTGCTTTGTGTAGGAGTATGGCAGGCAATCAAATGGTTCCTAGTGTTTGTTCAGATGAGATAGCTAAGGATCTGGGTAGGATGTCATCATACGTCATCCCCAGATGCTGTTGACATGTGATAATTGCCTGGTTGACATAACAAGCGTTGAAACAGTGTAAGGACATTTTTCAGCTTGGATAATAGGGCAAAGGAAGCAGCTTGTTCTTGGAAATCAGTTTGCTCTAATTTTGGTTTAATGCAGTAGAAAGTGTACTTGATACCCTGGCAGCAGAACATAATTCGTCTTCTTTGGAGTTAGTGTTAAATTTTATTATCTTTCATAAATACAATGTGAACATGTCAGCGTGTTTGTCATAGCCATTCCAAAAATGCTCTCTTATGGTAGAATCTTCAGAAAAATTCCTTTTAAGAGCAGTGCATTATTAATAAAGTAATCCATTAGGTCTGGTGATAAAGGGTCACAGCAGAGTCTGAAATACGTTTCTTAAATGGTTAAGAAATTTATCATGGTTGGAGGATTAATTGATTTCATTTGGAAGCTTTCTTAAGGTTTGCAGGCATTGTGTTTAGGGATGGTTTTATTCTCTTTGGAAATGTGCTTTGCTGCTCAAAGTTTTGCTTTGCTGCATTAGCATGAACA